AAAAGCAGCGAGCTTGGAGGCGTGAAATACAGGGTAGGTGCGCAGGTGACCAGGGATACGGATGACATAGGATGGCCCACCTGGATCTGTCCCAACTATGTCCAAGACCTCCCAAGGCCCAAAGTACTGAGGCATGAGTTTGCGAGATATCCCAAACTCTTGTCCAARTTCAGAGGACTTGACCCAGACTCTGTCCCCAACCTGAAATGCAGAAGGGCGGCGATGTTTATTTTCGGACTCGATCATTGCAGACTGTGCCTTCTGCATGTGTTCTACARCCTCCTGCATCTTCTGTTCATAACGATAGGCAAACTCTAGAGTGCCGGGTGCAGTGTCTGGCTGATTGTCAGGTAGTAGAAAGTCTAAGGGCAGTCTAGGCTTAAAYGTTAGTTGCAGAYTGTTAGGACTCACCCCCGTAGCACTATGTWCARCATTGTTATACAGACTGGCAACTAAAGCAAGCTTTTCGTCCCAGTCCACCTGGTTAGGCTTGATGTAGTGCCTCAACAGGTGCTGCACAGTGCGGTTCATCTGCTCCGCCTGGCCATTAGCTTCTGGATGGCTTCCAGAAGTCATCTGCAGTTGAGTTCCCTGTTCAACTGCAGCGGCTTTCCACAGTTCACTAGTGAACCGTACATCTCTGTCACTAACAATAGACTTTGGTAGTCCAAAGTCTCTGACCCAGTTCTCCTTGAACAGTTTGATTACGTACTCGGTCTTTGCTGTTTCCGGCATGGCTATTAATCTAGCATAYTTACTAAATCTATCCACGATGACGAAGATCTGTCTCATTCCACTCTTGCTGGTGATCAGCGTATCCATGAAGTCCATGGACAAGCTTTCACCTGGCCTTTCCGGAATCGGAAGGGGCTTAAGCAGCCCGAGASGAGCTTGAGTACGGGGCTTGTCCMGTTGACAAACTTGACAAGTCTCCACATACAGCTGTGCATCTCGCATCATCGTGGGCCACCAGAATCGCTGCAGCAAGTTGGCTGCGGTCTTCTTATACCCAAAATGACCGGTGGCGTCATGACACTCACCTAAAACAAACTACGCATAGACTCGCTATTTGGAACACACAAGCGTTTATTCCCTGCMTTCTCTAGGAACAGCAATCCATTGACCAACTCAAACTCGGCGGTGGTCTTTTTATCCTTCGCCTCCAGTCTGCGTATGATCTCAGACATAAACTGGTCCTGATGATAGGCTTCCACCAAAGACTGAGTAACATTGTCCGTCAGGCCGAATTCAGTAATCAGCGCACCTGAGAAATCTGGTCTGCGCGACAAGGCATCAGCAACCTTGTTGTACTCCCCTTTAAGATACTGAGGGTCAAAGTCATATTGCTCAATGACTTCAATCCAACGCTTAAGAGCGTCAGAGAGTACTGGCTGAGTTCTCATCCATCTTAGGGTCTGATGATCAGTCCGGAGGATGAAGAACTGCCCAAGGAGGTAGTGTCTCCAATGGGTGAGAGCCTTGTACACTGCATAGAGCTCCTTCTCATAAGTGGACCTAGCCAACTTCTGAGACGGCATTTTCTTGGACATGTACTCTACTGGCCTCAACTTTGACCCCTCCTGCTGCGCAAGCACGGCGCCAATGCCATATTGGCTAGCATCCGTGGTTACTATAAATGGCTTATCAGGATCGGGTAGTTTCAAGACTTCATAGTGCGTCAATGCATGCTTCAGATGTCTGAAAGCAGCCTCGCACTCATCTGTCCATTCCCAAGGGGTGTCAAGGCGGGTCAGATCAGTCAAAGGAGCGGCCACGATGCTGTAGTTCTTAACGAAAGTCCTGTAGTAGCCTGTCATTCCTAAGAACGATCTCATCTCAGTCACGGACTGAGGACGTGGCCAATCACGAATGCTGGCCACCTTCGCGTCATCGGGCTTCATCCCTTCCGCGGAGATCTCATGACCCAAGTACAAGATACGGGTGCGGCCAAACTCGCAGTTTTCACCGTTCATTTTAAACTTGTGCTGTCGCAAGAGACTGAAAACTTTGTCTAAGTGTGCTACGTGCTCCTCGACAGTCTTACTAAAAATAAGTATGTCATCGAGGTACACGACGACAAACTTATCCAAGTAGTCATGAAAAATCCGATTCATAGCGTGCTGAAAGGTGCCAGGAGCATTGCAAAGGCCAAAAGGCATCACCACAAACTCGTATAGACCGTACCTGGT